GGCATTCCTATTTCGGACCCGGATCTGGTCTCTTTCACTTTGAACGTCTTGGTTGCCATGGCAATGAAGATTCTCTTCTGAAGTGCCGGAGCAGGAAATATGTCTCCGGTGACTGTAACCATGGAAATGAGGCCGGAGTGGTGTGTGCAGTACCTGAGGGTAAGTTTGTTTAATTTGAGTGGGCTATTATTATTATAGTGTGACCCCACCCACATTGAATTTGGGTCACAAGAATTTTGTGGTATTTGTATATACTGTATATATTAGTTGTTGTTTGCACATGTATAGTATTTACATGTATTTTATAATATTTTTCACTACATCAAGATGTATGATGAGTGTATTTGCACACAAACTAAGCTGCATTTTCTAAGTTCTGGGTGACAGTTGAGAGCTTGGGTTGCCGTGGCGACCCTGGGCATCTTCTGACAACACAGAGGACTGCCTGATTAACAGCAAACTCTTGTCTCTCTCACTTTTTTATTGAAAAAGACCATTTCTCATCTGTTGAGTGGACCTCCAGGGCAGGGTCTGTAACAATAGTCTTTAGTGTCACATGATCCTCATTGATGAATTAGACATGATGAATCATTCTAATATGATGATTTGCTGCTAAATAACCTTTTTTATGATTATGAGTGTTGAATACATTTGAACTGATTAATATGATTGTGAATAGGATTCTTTTATGAACAAAAAGAATAGAATTTATTTCAAATAGTAATCATTTATAACATTAGAAATGCCTTTACTGTCGATTTTGATCAATTACTGTAAATGCATCCTTGCTAAAAAAAAGTATTAATAAAAAAAAAGAAAATAGTGACCCCAAAGTTATGAACATATATGTATATTTATTTATGAGAGTTATACAAATATATGTAAGTTAAAGTTATTAAGTATGTAATGTAATGTGTAAGTAATGTGTGTTGAATAATATATATTGTTCATAACTTTGGGGTCACTAATTTTGTATGTTTGTGTGTCTTTTATGAACAAAAATAATAGAATTTCTTTGAAATGGTAATATTTTATAACATAAGAAATGGATTTACTGTCAACTTTTGATTAATTAAATGTATCCTTGCGTTAAAAAAAAAGGGACCCCAAAGTTATGAACAGTATATATTTTTTAAAACAAATTACTTACACATTACATTACATACTTAATAACTTTAACATGCATTTATATGTATATGTGTGTGTATATATATATATATATATATATATATAAGAAATGCAAGTTTCTTACAACTATATAGCTCTTACAACTATATTTTCAACAGTGTTATAGTGTGGAAAGGCCTTCTGTGAAGCTAAATGAAGACAGAATTCATGAGAGACAGAAATAGGGTCATAAACAGTGTGCCTGTTGTAATGGGACAGTTTGCTAGAACAGGGTCAGGTATATTTAGAGAGAGCTGTGAATTATTCACACAGAAACTTTAGGAAGCAGAAAGCAATCTGAGAGTGCTGAGGCTTTGCCAAGAGTCCTTACACATGTCCCCATCCTTTACCATACACACATACATGCTTCAAAGCATTATGCCATATGTGGAAGACCTATGTCTTGTAAAAGGGATTCTCTACTGAAGCATATAGAAGAGTTTTAAGCTTCTGCTCTCAAGAAGTGTGAAATATTACACTAATTATTTTGTCCTATGCATCCTCCACCGCAGTGAATAAATGAATGAAATATCGATTGATTGGACTTTTGTTTTGTTTAGGCAATGGTGCCCCCCTGAGGCTCGTGGGAGGCCTTGAGGATTTCGAGGGGCGCGTGGAGGTGTACCATAACGGGAGGTGGGGTACTATCTGTGATGATGAATGGGATGATATTGATGCTGAAGTGGTTTGCCGACAGTTGGGACTGGGGTAAGAAATGTCATCATATGTATGTCCTATTTTGCACTTTTTTTTTTGCAATGCCAAGGACCTCCAAATATGAGCTGTGTATAAATTTGCACTGTGTAAGAAAAAAAGTTGAAATAAAAAACAGATTGCATTTTTTTATGTAAAATACTGTTATGAAATATTTGATTTTAGACCAGAAAGAATGAAACTGCAGTAATATCAAATTCAATAAATGTGTTGTGGCTTTCCATTTGAAAAACCCCTGTCTTATAGCATTAGTACAAGGATCTGCACATTGATCTATTGCAAGATCTTCTAATGTTGCTTGAAAGCTTTTGTATCATCATCAGCTGTTTTTGTTTAGCAACATTTAGAAACGCTTTGCACAAATGATTTGACTAAAAGCATTTACAAGAGCTGGGAAACACTGATAATGCCATGCACGAATCAGTGCTGACTATAAGGACTGTCCTTTTTACACACACAAACGCACACACTAGCACAGCAAGTGAACTATTAATATAGATGAGTGGATGGAGTGTATGAATGATTGATGGGGTGCAGGCAGTGTGCGAACTACGGGGGAGCTCGGCTCCCCTTAATAAGACATGTATAATAGGGTCAATCCTGTATAGTGATTTATCCTATATAGTGCTTGCATAAAGCAAGTAGTGCATACACTTGTAGCTGTTATGTATCTTTGTAATTCATTGTAAGCCCCCTTTTGAGGCACGATCCCCCCCAAAGGTATAGTTCGAACACTGGGTGCAGGGATTAGCTCCATGAATATGCAGTGGGATAGAAAGCAACTGATTTTACCCTTCACTATCCGTGTAACATACACTTTTCAGTACATCAGTCCTGATTTTGAATGCTTTTAGTGACGTGACATGTGGCCAAGTATGGTGACCCATACTCGGAATTAGTGCTCTGCATTTACCCATCCAAAGTGCACACACACAGCAGTGAACACACACAAACCGTGAACACACACCCGGAGCAGTGGGCAGCCATTTATGCTGCGGCGCCCGGGGAGCAGTCGGGGGTTCGGTGCCTTGCTCAAGGGCACCTCAGTCGTGGTATTGAAGGTGGGAGAGAGCGCTGTACATTCACTCCCCCCACCTACAATCCCTGCCGGTATGAGACTCGAACCCACAACCTTTGGGTTATGAGTCCGACTCTCTAACCATTAGGCCACGACTTCCCCGACTTTTGCAATGTAAGTATCATTGCAAATTTAGGTAAATAAACTAATATTCCTTTATACCTCTATTCCTCCTTGTTATGATCTTAAATGTACACTGCTATTCAAAAGATTGGAGTCAGTAAGGTTTTAAAGAAGTTAATCCTTTTATTTAGCAAGGATGCATTATATTAAACTTTTTATTCATCACAGAACCCTGTAATAAAATGTATCATGGTTTCCTTGAACTGTTTTCCACATTGAAGTTTTAAGCACCAAATTAGCATATTAAAATGATTTTGAAGGATCATGTGACACTGAAGACTGGAGTAATGAGATTCAACTTTGCCATCATAGGAATAAATGACATTTTTAAATGCAGCCTTGGTGAGCATAAGAGACGTCTTTCAAAATATCTTACCGACCCCAAACTTTTAAATGGCAGTGTATCTTAACTGTTTTGATATGGGAATGAATCACAGGCGTGTGTTTGTTTTCAGCGGTGTACCAAAGGCATGGACATGGGCGCACTTTGGGCAGGGCACTGGGCCTATCGTGTTGGATGGAGTGCATTGCACAGGAAATGAGCTGTCTTTGGAGGAATGCCCTCATGCGCCCTGGGGCCAGCACAACTGTGATCACATGGAGGATGCTGGAGTCTCGTGCAACCCGTTTACAGGTGAAGATGACACAGACTGTGACACGAGCTGTCTCAACTGTCTTTATGAAAACACATTTAAAGTAATTCAAAGACTAAAAACCCTTTTATTGCCATTTTATTTGTGTGTGTAAGTGCATTGATTAAACGTAGACATGTTAATGCTGCTGTAGATGGAGTGTTGCGTCTAGTAGGAGCTGATAGCCCATGGGAAGGACGCCTTGAGGTTTATCACGCTGGAGAATGGGGCACAGTGTGTGATGACAACTGGAACGGACGTCAAGCCCAGGTGGTGTGTCGACAGCTGGGTTATCGGTAAGCTGTATTTTTGGACTGGTTGATAACATAATTCTTGAATGTAAGCATATAATGTGCTACTTTGAAGTAATTAAAAAAAGTACATTTCAAGTTTGACAAGGAGGAGACCGGGAAGTTTGTTTCATTTAGCTTTCTGCTCTGTTACTGCAATACTGCTATTTGTCCAACAGAGGGCGAGCTGAGGTGGCTCCAGATGGGGTGTATGGAGAGGGTACAGGGATGATCCTGCTGGATGAGGTGACTTGTGAAGGGGGAGAGAGCTCTCTGCTGGTCTGTGCTCATGGTCAGTGGGGGCAGCATGACTGCTCTCACAGTGAGGACGTGGGCATACGCTGTGAAAGAGAAGGACAGAACAATGAGATCCCTGAAGTGGCTCCTGCCACAGGTGAGTAAAGTCCATGTAAAAACTTTTATTAGTGTTGTTATCATCATCAAAAGTAACAGATGTTACCGATATCCGAACCAGATGTTAAGAAACAAGTCCACTTTACATTTTTAAGAGCCCTCCAAAACAAATTGGATACTAGAAAACGTATTTTATTGTACTGACATGCTTATACATGCATTATATATATATATAATGAAATGCATACTTATTTGTAGCTTATAAAAAACATGTATGATGATGAATATGGTTAAGACATGGTGTAAAAATGATTGCACTTATCAGAAAGGGATTTGTTGCTCTGTGACAAACAGCAAATCTAAAGCAGTGGTCCTCAATTTTTTTGACTCCAAGGCTCTCACAGTCAAAGGCAATATCTGAATACTTAAAGGACCCCCAAGGTATTTTTGGTGAACCTGCTGTATTGACAAAACTGCTTATTTCCAACCTTTTTTATTTTCAGAAAGTGGGAGCGGCAATATATTAAAATAATTAAATAAAACAATTACAATTAAGATAATCCATAATTACAAAAAACAAACAAACAAAAAAATCCAATAGCTTAGTGTTCTACAGGGTTTACACTTTTCATTAGCAATTTTATTTCCATGACAGTCATTTGTAATTTACAGGAATTTTAAAATGATTATTTACTCAGAAATAGCAATTTCTACCTAATAAAATATTTTTGATCTTAACATAACTATAAAACTTTTCATGACTTCTTAAGATTTTGTCAGTTGACATGACATTTCCAGGTCTAGAAATCAAACTTTTAAAATTCTCTCGTACATCCAGGTTTCTCAAGACATGAGAACCATGGTTATAAATAAAAAGGGCAGATGTTAAGGGAACAAATTAAGATAAGAAATGTCAGCTTACTTGATTTTTTTACATATTTAAAGCTTGTTTTGTCTTAATTTTATCCATCTTGAGGCCCTCTTAAGCCCAAAACACACTGCATGATTTTAGCAATCCTATAAGATCACTGCATGTCACACTGTGCGACATGGATCTAATAAACTTGGCTACGACATGTACGATGATGACACCTACGATACGATGCATGTTACTACAGAAGAAAAAACGTCATCAGCATGTGCTAGTGGTAAACAAAAAGAGCATGATAAATCACATTTTAGCAGTTGTATTTTTTATGTGTGCTGAAAAAAAGTGGAAGCAGTGAAAGAGGAAGGGATAAGAGCTTGAGGTAAGCAGTTTTATGTTTTAGCGACATGTCGCGTTGATTTCATGTCACATTTTTATTGGTTGGTCAGTAAATGTGGATCGTAGCAGCAAACACACTGTGCGATGATCATGTTGTATCGTAGGATATCTTTGGTCGCAAGACCGTGACAACAGCTGTCTTTGAACCTCTCTCATTGTACGACATAAGAGCACCGATTAGGAGCCCCGATCACAGAAATCGCCAAGATTGTCAATCTTTCATCTGGGACAGCCAAAAATCGTGCAGTGTGTTTAGGGCTTTAGAGGTTTGCTGAGGCCTCCTAGTGGGTCCCGGCCTTCTGGTTGAAAACCACTGTTTAAATTGACATTTTTAATTTTAACAGTATAATGTGATATGTAATAATAAAGCTGTTTTCTGTCATTTCTAACTAGGCACCAAATTCTAGCACTGAATAATAAGAGAGCCCATAAAAGCATCCTTAGTCTATTAAATATCTCTGGGGAATATAATTTTGCATAACATCACCCTTTAAAAAAGACAAGGAATTTACACTGCAACTTTTGTATTCTCAATCATATAATTCACTGCTTATCCAGGTATATAGAGGTCCATCTTTTCTGTGCTGTTTCTAGTTATGCTGTGGTTCCAGGTCCCCTGGTGAGGCTGGTGGATGGCGAGAGCCGTAAGGAGGGCCGCGTAGAGGTGTTTATTAATGGCCAGTGGGGCAGTGTGTGTGATGATGGTTGGAATGACATCAATTCTGGAGTGGTCTGCAGACAGCTAGGATTTGTGTAAGCATGTTTCATGTGTTCAAAGAAGATAAAGACACATCCTAACATTGTCAGTTACTTATTTGTTCCTCTTTCCCCTTTTCAATTTCAGCGGGGTCTCGAAGGCCCGCTCCATGGCTTATTTCGGTGAGGGTCAGGGACCCATCCATCTGGATAATGTGAAGTGTGTTGGGACAGAGGCTTCATTGGGTAAGTGTTCAGCTGTAGGCCCGGACGCCCATGATTGCAGGCACAGTGAGGATGCAGGAGTCATCTGTGACTACACCACTGAACCCATAAAGTACAGAAGCATGAACAAGCAGGAATGTGGTTTGAGACCCAACACACAAAGGCGCAGAAGAAGGATCATTGGAGGAGACAAGTCTCTACGGTAATGAACATTAGGGTTTATTTGTTCACTAGCATTGTAACGTGCATTATATTTATTAATCTCTGTTTTTATTGTTTATTGACCATCTGTGACTGTTATGTAGGGGAGACTGGCCGTGGCAAGTATCTTTGTGGCTTAGGTCTCAATTGAAAGGCACCCATCCACTTTGTGGGGCGACTCTCATCAATTCCTGTTGGGTCATTACTGCTGCTCATTGCTTCAAGAGGTGAGAGAGAGACTCTGCTGACATCTAGTGGCTCTACGGAGAATGACAAACACTTTACTTTGTTACAATGTCTGTTATAAATGACAGTTTGGCAATTAAAACACATGCTGTGCATGAACATCTCTTTTTTTCAGGTTTGGTTCAGACCCGTCCCGTTATGTGCTGCGGCTCGGCGACTACCACACAGAGGAGAGGGACGACTTTGAGCGCACTCTCTCTCCTGAGCGCATCGTGATCCACGGAAAGTACCACAGCCAGGGCTGGGAGTATGATATTGCCTTACTGAAGCTGAAGGGCACAGATGGGAATTGTGTGGCCTTTAACCCACACACTAATGCAGTTTGCCTTCCGCCTCAGAGCAACAGGAGGGGCAAGAGGCCTATCGCCTGTGTTATCACCGGATGGGGAATTACAGGTACTGCAAACTCACATATTTAGAGAAATACATTTCTGAACACACTTATGATGGCTAATAGTTTCCTATTGGAATGGAAGACCTAAGCTAATAATTCTGGGTAAAAAGCAATAAAAATAAGTATTATTATTTACAAACAAAATGAGTAAAATAACATTTGCAAACCAAATAATTTTGCAAATACATATGCAAAAATTATATTGTTAAAATTTAAATACAGTACTGTTCAAAAGTGAGGGGTCGGTGAGATTTTTTTAAAGTGTTATATTCACCAAAACTGTATTTATTTGACCAAAAATACAGTAAAACCAGTAATATTGTGAAATTATTACAATTAAAAAAAAAAACTTTATTTTTTTATTTTTAAATGTTAGTTATTCCTGTGATGGCAAAGCAAAATTTTCAACAGTCATTACTCCAGTCTTCAGTGTCACATGATCCTTCAGAAATCATTCTAATATGCTGATTTGGTGCTGAAGTAACATTTATTCTTCTTATCTGTGTTGAAAACATTTTTGTGTACACAGTGATACATTTTTTCAGGATTATTTGATTACTAAAGTTCAAAAGAACACCATTTATTTGAAATAGAAATCCTTTGTAACATTATGTCTTTAGTTTATAAATGTCTATACTTTAACAATTTAACACATTCTTTAAAAAAAGTTACATTTCTGAAAACAAAAACTTTTGAATGGCAGTGTATATTTTATATAATATTTACATACTTCAAAAAGGTGTTTTAAAATAAAAAGTTCTTATAGGCGCTAATTTTTCGTTCTCTTCTTGTATCTTGTATTAGACTCTGAGTATTCCCGAACACTGCTGCAAGCCTGGGTTCCGTTACTGCCCTCCTGGAAGTGTAAAAAACGCTACGGCAGTCGCTTCACCAGCCGCATGTTGTGTGCCGGCAGTTTGTCGAACCATCGCCGTGTGGACAGCTGTCAGGGTGACAGTGGGGGGCCACTAGTGTGCCAGGGTGAGGCTGGCCACTGGATGCTCACAGGAATCATCTCCTGGGGTCACGGTTGTGGTGACCCCACCTATCCCGGTGTGTACACACTGGTCGGCCGGTTCCTGAAGTGGATAGAAAAAGTCACCCACAGCACTGGCAGAGCCTGATGTTACAGTGGTAACATTAAAACCAACTTACCGCATTGTATAAAATATATGTTATGTAATGCCTATGAAGGGATCACCAGCTGGCCATTAGGTTTAAAGCTGGTTTGATCCTGTTTTATGTGTTGCACATTTTACTACTTGCACCATGCCATTTCAGTTCCATTTCTGTACACTTGAAGCGTTCGTGAATATGCACAAGAACATGAAGCCACTGTTTTTGAGGGACAGCTGCATTAAGTGAGCGGAGTTTTCCGGGATTGAAAGGTCTTCGCCTCTGTAAATAAGTCATTTTGCACTAATCTGCATGCCATATAAATGGAGCATCTGTGGGAGGTCTGTGTTCTGGTCTGGCTCTTCTGGATCAGGTTCTTAAATCAGTTCACATTTTGCACTTAAACGTGTTATTTTATTTTTGGGTTTTTGTTTTTTCTAGTTTTGTGATTTAATTAAGATAAGGAACGGCATGCTTGTATGTAAAGATTCATCAACATTCCACTTGTATGTTGGTTATTTGTACTCTTGTTGTAGGTGTATAGGGTACGACTACCATTATTGAGCTTTTAATTTAATTTGGCAGAAAACCAGTGTCAGAAAATAGTATGTTCAGTTTATTTATACATATAACAATGTCCACTTTTTTTCTCAAGCTCCTACCCAACAGATAATGTGATAATATCAGTGATATGAAGTATTGGACTGTTAATCGGCTGGATATTATGGAGTCTCTATGGGGGGGATATGGTGATGGACAAAAATGAGAGCCAAAATTATATATCAATGCTTTAAGTTTGACTTGCAAACTGCTTATGTTTCCCTTTGAAACTTTGCATGTGCTTGCCAAACATTTGTTTTTTTGCAAAGTTTTACGTTTCCTTGTGAAACATTGCATTTGCTTGCTGAACGTTTGTGTTTCTTGCAAAATTCTTATGTTCCCCAAGAAACTTTGCATTTTGTGAGTGGACATAAAACTGGTCATGGAAATACTATGATGGAGGGAAAACTATAGATTTAATGTTTTAGCAAACGAATGCAAAGGTTCTTGGGAGAACACAATTTTCACTTTTTGTGAAAGAATGCAGAAGTTTTGCAAATTATTGCCAAAAGCATTGAAATATGTTTCATATTTTTTCCATCACCGTGTTCCTAGTTAATAGTGAGAATTGGTCCTTAAACTAAAGTGTTTAAACTTGAACTACGCACAGTTATTTCACACATGGTCAGAATCTGCTGCTGAGTGATGTTATGTTGCATTTGCTTCCTGCAGTGTTCAGCCTTTTCTGTAGACAGGTGTTTATTCAGGTTTACTGTTGTATTTATTTACATAACAAGAAGACATAGGCTTATAAATTCATTGTTTCTTGCTTTGATTAATGAATTGAGCTATAACAGTGGTGCTGTTTTGTTCCAGTTGGGTGTCCCAATCAAGAAATACTGAAATTAGGCATAGACAGGAAGGAGAAGATCACTTTAGTAATTAGTCAAGTTTACACAATTAGTATTCCACGTAGTCCAAATGGTTCAAATGATGTAGACGCTTTGGTTCCTAACATTCTATTAACAGTCTGTTATTAATCAATCCCAAACAGAAACCTTGATGTAATTATGGAAAAATGCAATGGCTGCTAATATGCCATATTTAGCTTTGGTTAAAAACTGGTTTAGCAAAACTGTGAATATTCAGATGTTTAGACACCAAGATGGAAAATGAGATAAACTTATTTGAACGCATGGCCTTGTCTCCTCATTATTTTTTTGTTCTGCAAAATGGTGTTGGGAAAGCAAAAACAAGTCAATCAGAAATGTAGCGTAATATTCTGGCATCATGATATTAATAATGTATTTCCAACACATTGTGATTGTATTAAATGTTGAAAATCGTCATTGACCGTATTAACTACATCTGTCTGTCTCTCTCGCTCTCTCTCTCTCTCTAAATATATGACTTGGAAAAAAAGATCAGTTTTGCAAATATATTATGACTGTCCTTTAATGTGGACATTGTGTGTGTGTGTGTGTGTGTGTGTGTGTGTGTGTGAGAGTGTGTGAGAGTGTGTGAGAGTGTGTGAGAGTGTGAGTGAGTGTGTGAGTGAGTGTGTGAGTGAGTGTGTGAAGAGTTCATTTGCAAAAACAGATAACTCCGTTCAACAGGTAAGTATATTGAACCAAAACTTTTAAAGACAAGTAATTTATTGACAATTAAAAGTGTTATATAGCCCACTGAATCATACTCAGACTTAATGCTGGCAGCAGTGGAACCACTTGGGAGAGAACTGCCCGGTGACTTATTTCTTAGCATAAAAGAGGACAATGGTACAAGAGGAATACTAAATTATTGTTTTAAGTGTGAAAATATAGCAGAAGTAGCACCAACATTCAAAAACAATGGACTTGTGATAAGGCTCCTGAAATAATCAGGTCTTCACTTTAAGTTTTCATTTAGTGATGAGTGAATTTTTGCTAGAAAAAGAGCAGGAGAAATAACATGCAAGTCTCCGAGCCGGCAAAAGCTATGAAAAGAGTGACACTTTATCTCACAGAGTATGACGCAGCCTGCAGAAGTGACATACATGGTTGTTGTCACCACTAGAATTACCTACTGAAGCCAAAGCACAATAAACTCTCCAGGGCCCATATTTACAAAATAGAGACCTCTGGGAATCCATACTCTGGTCTCATGAGAGCAAGTCAATCATTTCGGATCCAAACGCATCCAAAATGTTCTGGTGTTGCTAGAGGAGGAGCACAGAGAGAAGTGCTTGGTACCCACAGTGACGTTCAGTGGTAGTAAAGCTCTTCAATAGGGATGAATGCAAATTTTCTCCCAGATGCAAAGTGAAGACATGGCTGTAGTCGAGGCTGGCCCTGGGACTTAGTGAGTCCCACACGAGCAGCAACCAGAAGACAAAGCAGAAGATATATATATATAGTATATTTTGATTATATTTCCATTGTGATAGTATGATTTATCCTGCCAATTTCACCTCTAGACTTAATTTGAACAGTTATTTATTGTAACATAAACCGATTTAGAATTATGAATTATTTGTCTGTGGAATATTGTTTTGTTAAAAAAGCATTTGTAAAAAAGCATTTGTTAAAAGTGCACTCATAGATTTGTAATTACTATTATGTAATCAAACATAAACCTTCAGTTTAGGTGGCACCAAATTTTAAAACACACATACTACACACACAAGTGATGTCCACGGGAATGGACACTGGGTATGAAAGGGTTAAACAAAATCCACTATTTGTGTAATACCAACAACATTAAACTCTTGCTTGCATCGCTCAAAGATCAAAGAACCTCTATCCAAGTCACCATCTTGCATTTATTAATTGTTATTAATGTAGGCTATTTGAATGTAATATCCCAAATCAATCCGAGACACTCTTGGCAATCTGTTGCACAATATTCAGCGGTTGATACTGAAGTATTACGGTAAATCAAACAATTGAAATGCATTCTAAATGGTTTATGATTTAGTACCAGACCTACATACCCATGAACAGATAACTGCCACATAATGTGTTATACAAGACAAAATGCATTGAAACGAGAGACTAGTGTTTGTCTGGCTTTAATGTCGAGCGGAAGTGCGGATCAGCTGATGCTGGAGAGCCATCTTCATCTTCCCGAGCAGAGGAGAGGAGGGGGCACGGGACAGAGAGAACAGGGGGAGCGCGACTCCAAATTGTCGGCTTAAAAAGACATTTTGGACCCAGAGAGCGCTGGCTGCTTAGAAACGACGGAGGACTAGAAAAGAACCGGCCGGTGGCACATGCAGACAAGCGGATGACAAGCTTTTACACACAAAGGAGAAGACACATATGAGGCAGCTAGAGGTGGCATAAAAACAATTTATTATGTTTTCCACGGATGCACGTTTGTCCTGGTCGAGGGGTCAAATCGGCATTTTAGTCGTCTTATTTTCCTGTAACGTAAGCCCACATAGAGGCACAATGCTGAGATAAAAGCACTGGCGAGTCGTTTGTTTTGGGTAACCAGTGGATCGACAAGACTCGGATTAGGGACCAAGGCTTTTGTGCCAAAACATCAAAACAGCGTTATTCCGTCTGGATAGTTTTAAGGACATAAGCACAGCTCGTGTCAGCGCTTATTTTGACAGTTTTTGAAGTGTTTGTGGTTTCGGGCTAGCCGGAAAGCTAGCAGGCTAACCGACTAGCCTTTCGGAGTTAGCAGAGCTACCTCGATCGAAATAAAAAACAATCGTACCGGGGTTGTTTTGGGTTAACACAGGGTTATTATTGTGATATGGCCTTGTTTAAGAGAAATAAACCCGCGGAGGGTCATTAGGAGTACTTGGGGAGCTGGTCTTTCTTCAGCGCTCTCTTGTTTTGTTAGCCGTAGAGCAGCTGTGGGACTCGAGGCTCAGCTGATAGGACAAACAGAGGAGAGGGGGTTTAAATGAGAATTTTAGTGAAAAAAACTCATGCTTGCTAAAACGCCCTGAACTTTACTAACTAAGTGAGTCGCTACAGTTGCTGTCAATTAACACCACTTGCTATGTAGTTTGAAAACTTAAGGTCAGTCAGACCACTGGAGAGGGGCTTATTTATTTCAAAATCTTATTTCATAAGATTTAAACCTCAACAAATGTCTGATGATACATTTCTGGAGCGTTTTTGTCTTGTAAGTCCACACTTGACAATGTAAGATAACACTTATTTAGGTTTAAAAAATTGAGAAGTGTATAGGTTTATGAAATTTTAGCTATGGGTTGTGTCACTTTTCTGAAGAACTAGACACCTGAGTGTCTCCAGCAGTTGGGGTCTAAAAGCATGGATTAATTTCACTTAACTGCACTGCAGTCATGTGCAAATCCTTCATTTGACACCCTAAATACATATTTTCAAGAAACACAGGCTTTCTTGAGGGACTTTGCAGGGCCCCTCACACAGTGTTTGGGTTGCGTGTGAGTTTCCCCTCCCCCTGAGCAAGTGTCACTCTCTCAAAACAACAGAAGCGCAGAGGCACGTTCAGTTGAAGCTTTCAGGTCTCCACACAGCAGATGTGATGGAACTGATGTTCGCTGAGTGGGAAGACGGAGAGAGGTTCTCCTTTGAAGATTCGGACCGTTTTGAGGAGGACTCCCTGTGCTCGTTCATATCAGAGGCGGAAAGTCTCTGCCAGAACTGGAGAGGATGGAGGAAACAGTCTGCCGGCCCAAATTCACCCACTGTGAAGATTAAAGGTAATGGAAGATTGTCTTCATGTGCTGTGAAGTGGTTTAGGTGCTGTCATTGTAATGTGAGCACACCGTGCCTTGGCATGGCTGCACCTTTGACCTCGGGTTGTATTCTTAACTTGTGGGCAACAATGTCATGTGATCTGCATGTTTAAAAAAAACTACCAAGTTTAACTGTTCTTCCATACGTGGGCCTATGTGGACAAATTAGTTAACCTTGTACTGGAGTTATAGGTTTACTTGTTTTGGTACAAGTTGCATTAGTGGGGACACAAGTAATATATTTCATTATTATAATATATAATTTATGTGCAACTTCATTAAAATATATATATATTAGTACGACCCACTATGATAAGGTTAAATTGTGTAAAATGCCTCTTGGATGTGATGGCAACTAAAACCACTACATCACTTTCATAAAAACCTGTAGTGCAACAGCAAATTGGTTTGCATCTGTCAATGAATGGATTTGTTGCAATGGTTTTGCAAAGTGAGTCCATATTGACTGTTACAGACATAATGGTGATTTATTTGTGAAATATGAATTAAGGTAAAGGGGTTTCTTTAAAATGCACATCATCCATTAACTAATAGCAGAATAATAAGAAGTTGCTTTAAAAGTATGTGAGATATCAGGAAATACCAAAAGTGATTAAAATTAACCAGGAAAGGAGACCCATTTTGCTTAAGTCCTTAAATGATTGATATATTCATTATTAGAATGTGTTATTGCATCTGCATTTATTAACTTTTTTTCCTTTCATAAAATAAATTTTCAGTGTGAATCAATTTTGACTTGAACGTCACAGGTGAGTAAAATGTCTTAGGAGGGCAAAAGTAATGTAAAAAGTCTTGTTTGTTTGTTTGCTGGTTTTTATTGTATTTGTTGTACTTGTATTTTTTAAATTGTTTTTGCCATTATATATATATATTCTGTCCAAACCATGAAAGTCAATGGGATCCAATGTTGTTTTAACCTCAACATTGTTCAAAATAACTTTTTTTTTTAGTTCATTTTTAACTTAAAATTCTCTCTATGAAAATTTTTTTTTGCAGTATCCTTCAATTTTATTCCTTTATAAGTTGTAAGTCTAGAACTTGGATATTGCAGCACAACTGTGATGTGTTAAAATTATGTTTGAAACAACTTTGGTCAGTCACTCCATATTACTGCTGAAACTCCGGCCCACCAAAAGCCCCGTGCTGTGCATGTGTAGAGAGAGTTGTCAGTCGTGAAGACCGAGATCTGTGCGTGTTTTTGCCATGAAAATAGCCTTTGATGCTGACATGGCATTAAATAAATATATATATTCTATACTAGGAGGGCAAAAGTAAAGTTACAAGGACAGTTAATCTGCAAATGAAAATTCAGTCATTTACTCACCTTCATATTGTTCCAAACATATGATTTATTTCCTACTGTAAAACACAAAAGAAGATATTTTAATATATATATATATATATGTAAGTCTAGAACTTGGATATTGCAGCACAACTGTGATGTGTTAAAATTATGTTTGAAACAACTTTGGTCAGTCACTCCATATTACTGCTGAAACTCCGGCCCACCAAAAGCCCCGTGCTGTGCATGTGTAGAGAGAGTTGTCAGTCGTGAAGACCGAGATCTG